TGTCCCAAGAAGAAACAGTGCGTTGATCTGTTTGACAACAAATCCTGAACATGAACGTCACCACCTCCGGTGCGTTCCAACGGAGCCTACCTACGTAGCCTTAGGTTATGATACCCTCTTACATCCCAGCCGACAGATTGGCGGTGATGTAGACACCACCTCACCTCACCTCACTGCACCTTGTAAAGCCAGGCGAAGCTCGTGCAAACAAGCTCGCAGCTCAGTGGCTCGTTTCGTTTACCCAGCAGTTCGGCGCATTTTATAAGTTCTGGTGTCGCCAATACGGCGGCACCCTCCCGCTTTGCAGTGCTGCACCAAGCCGCCCGGCGGAAACGTCAGCCGGAACTGTTGGCGAGGCATGCGCCGCGGCTGGCCACCTACACGGCAAGGTATCAAGATTTCGAGACTCTCTCTCTCTTCCTTGACAGACCTCTGCAGAAGGGATATGTCGTTTGTCTGACCCCAGTCGTCGCGTCCCGATGGAGCTATCTGGCGGGATTGGCTCAAACGGTCTCACCCTCACGCTCAATTGGCTATTCCAGCTAATCAACACAAAGTCTGGTGCAACTTGAAGATGCATCCCAAGCTTCCCTAGAATCCCATCCCCATCCCATTCCCCCTTCTTAGTGCCCACAGCAACCCCACGGGTACCTGGGGTGTTCATCGGGACTCACTAGTCAGCCCTACTGCGATCATGTAGAGCTCCGTATCTCACGCGCCTGTGTCCTCTTCTCACCCTTGTTGATTCTTATCTTTTCTTTCGTCACCACAGAAGGAGCAGTGAACGAACGAGGTGGACCGTCGCAAGCCGCTGGGCCTGACCGGTCCGGTCAGGGGGTTGGTTTGCCGGTGGCTGGCGGGACAGAGCGGTGAGCGCAACGTCCGTCCCGTTTCCGCTCACCCTTTTCCCCCAGCAGTCGCCTCCCGTGGCGAAACTCGGTGCGTTGAAAAGAGATTCCGATGCTTGATAATCGGAATTTTGTCATTCGGTGTGCTTTGGATACCTACAATTTCAGCACGTGGCAGGCCAAAAGTTACTTCAGGGGGAGGGGGGGTTGAATTGGCGGCTATCTTTGAATAGGTCATTCCGCCTTTCAGATATAAAATGCCTGTCTCATCTTTTATATCAGTTCTCATGAGTGCCATGGCGCCATGCACGCGAGAACAGAGAGCGCTGGTGATTGGGTTCGGCTAAAGCTTATCCTGTTCTTCACATTGTCTCAATATCCCGTCTCCTGAGCCTCGACTCTCGCTTGTCGAGTTTGGAATGGGTTGCTCTCGGGCGAATGCGGATTTCTCTTGGTCCTCCTGTAGACAGATATGACGAAGGAGGGATCAAAAACATGCAACGTTTCTCAATAGTGTGTGTAGCAGCGGACGAACGACTCGTTCAGAAGGCTAGGTAGGTACCAGCGTGCCTTGAACTCGGCTGGAGCTGAGGTGAGACCTTGTAGTTTTGGTAAGCTTTGTGGTTGGTGTGCTGAGACACTGTGAGTCCTCTAAGTGAGTGAGTGGGTGAGTGAGGTGAGGTGAGGTGCAGGTGCCGTACATTCTTTCGTTCTCAGCCGCATCGGGTGCGGCTAGTATATTCCTCATCGTCATGGACAGGAAACAAAACGAGGTGCGCGCCAGCCCATCCCTTTTGAACTGCGGATCAGGTCTTGACCTGTGCTGCTGAGGGATATGGTATTGGTGTGAGCTCAGAGTCAGCCACGCCTAGACTTCATTTTTCTTTGCTTAAAAGTATGTGACAAGAAGTCGGAATTGTTGGCGTTCGTGGGAGCGGTGGTACATGTCTCGACTGACCCAGCTGGGTTATGATCAGTGTGGTCTGATATTTTATAGTCCTGGAACAATGAAAGTGAACAATAAGTTTATCTTCATCAACGGAAGAACTGGCAGAGCCACCCCTCAGATCTTCATGTCTCTGGTACTTATACAACATCCAGGTGTCTGAAAGGAAGATGGTTGATATATAATCGGAGCTTCTTATGTTCATCGTCCTGGACACCGAAGGATGTTGCCTTTTGGCTGTTGATCGTCTCTTTTACGTGTATTCCAAAATCAATGCGATTGATGGATGGGAAGAATAACTTCGTAGGAGTTCCAATGTTGAGGAGAAACGAAATGGCTTGACGTGCTGTGTTATGATTATGATTGTTGACGGATACCAATGAGCCAAGTGAGCTGCATGGACCCAGCTATATGGCTCCAAGCAGACTTCTCTACCCCTTTTCCGACGAGAAAACAACTTGAAGAGCCTGTTTGTTTTGCGAACATAAGTCTAGGTCATGGGTTTCATGGATTTTGTCGAAGGGGGCGTTCCGAAATTAGACTCTCATATTTCGTACAGGATGTGACCTCTCTGTGAGATTAAATCACATCTGTCATCGTGCCGTAGCTTACAATAATCTGACTATACCATTAGATCTTACAACTGCTTAAGAGATTTCCGAGCTCGACGCTACAAGCTCCATCAGGGAAGAGAAAAACTAGCCAGCACCGTATCGTAGGATTCAGAACCAGATCTCCATAGCGAACTTGAAAAAGCCTTCCCACTTCGTACTTATCCGCCCGCCGAGGCCGACAGTATCATGAAGAGCGCTTCTCATCCAGGATGAATATATTTATTCTTCAACTAGTCTCGTTCCCTGGATTTGTATTTCATCGTCTTTGAGTGCGAGAAAAGTAGGCGTTTCATACTCCGAAATCAGAAATGAGACGTGTGTTGAAATTGAAGTAGACGCCGCTGAAGCTGGAGTAGTTGGTCATGTAGTACAGAGACACATTGATGTTCGATGTGCCTTCACCCGCGTCCACTGACTTTCTCTCGGTAATCTGCCGTCTTGCCCGCTGGTCGTAGCTGAATTGTTCTAGTTTGTCCGTGTCCAGGTCTACTTATCCAACAGCATCAATGGTGAGTGTAGGTCCTGCCAAAATCTTGACAGAGAAGAACCTGATTGATCTGGCTCGAATCTAGAGACACATTGACAAGACCAGAGACCGTCAGCTTTTGCATCGTGCTTGCAAAGTCAGAGCTAACAGCCATAGAATAGACGTAGTAGAAATATACGTCAATGGTTTCTTCCAAATAAGACGCCAGTTCTTAGTGATATCACTTCCCAAGAATGGGCTCACTGCGGTATTCTCTCAGTCTCAAACGCATCTAGTACATATATACCCGATTCCGACTTGGTTGCTCACCGTATTCCGTCATGGCGAAGCCATGGGAGCGTGAATTCTCCTAGGGATGTCATCTTCCATCCCTGGCGACTTCATAACGGCGTTCCAGTTTCCGCGAACGCTGGAACCTAGGCGGCTAGTGGAGTCTTTCCGAGCCAGTGTGAAGTTGAAACCAAAAAGGGAAGACGACAAATTCGACGTGCTTATTCAAGAGACAGGCTGGTGTATGTTGATCTGGAAAGAAAAATTGGCTTTGAAAGCCTGCAACCCAATGGTTGCTTGGCGTCATTAGACTTGTCTGGATAGAGGAGGAACACGATGGGACTGGGTTTGTCTCTTTTGTCTTCAAGGAAGCCGGAGCATGAGAATCATCTGTGAGGGGAATGAAACTACAGTCTGTCTTGTCCTGAACTACCTCTGCCGAATGAGCTTCAACTCCCAGGTTGACAAGACCGTACCTGGGTCTTCCCATATTGACACATTTGGACCACAGTCAAATGACACAGAGGTTGTAAGGCATCAGATTGATCCAGAAGACGAGAGCTCACATTCATTTCAGGTCAAAGTCTCGGAGACACCAGCATGAAGATGCGATTGTGGGTGTCACGCTGTAGTCTTCACTGCTCGCATCGATGGCTGCGCGAAGATTTGTGGAAGAAATGAGACGACATCTTTCATATAACGTTGTCGCATTGGAAACATGTTACAGGGAATGGGATGCTCTAATTCACGGGATATTAAAGGCGTTGAGGCGAGATTTGCGATGATCCATCGAGGACCTAGGCTAAAGGCGTTTCCAAAGATGTCACCAGTCTCTTGTTATATCGAAACCCTAAGCACAGGACCAATGAGCCCTTCTCTAGAGGTGTATCCCAACCTTGGCGGGCTTGTTTGACGACGCAAGGGTTGAAGGTCGACATCGTATGTTGCGGCTCTGGACAGATCCTTGTGGTCTATTGGTACATGCCGAAACCTTGATAGGCCGAAAATGGTGCGCATCTCTAGTGGACGTTCAACTTCGATATTGTAATCCTCTAGGGCTCTACATATTCACCTAAGAACCCATGGTGCCTGCGTATCTAGGGCATCAGACCTGGTGAGGGACTAGAGTCAACAGACATGGTACAGGACAAATGTGGCTAACATATGGAGCGCAAGCGTGGCTGGCTGGTGATTTTCCTAGCCTGATTTCTAGAACCAACACCCAACTTCCCTGAGCAGCATCACGGGTGGGTCGGTAGGCTTAAGCCTGCGCATGATTACCACGTTGGTTCGTGGATATCCCCTGTTTTCTGCCTCGTACCTGTACATATACTTGCTTAGACCATCTCTCAGGAACTGAAATCGCAATTAAGATGTGTTGTGAAGCAGGCTTTTTTGCTCGACTCTTCTTGAAAATTTCTGGCAGGCGAATGGAATGGTTTACGCCCTGTTGTAGGGGGGCAAGAAAGGTGTAAGTTGATTTGTCGAAGCTTGAGGCGAGGTACACTACGGTATCTCGATTACGGTACTGACTTAGTTGCACTATGGCCTTGAACATCCTCCCGACTCCGCTGCATCCGCGCAGAGCACCTAATGACCCCATGAAGCAGCAATGCAAATGAAGATTAAGTATGGGTACTTACGAATACAATCACATCGTTAGCGTAACGTGACTAGGATCCAGCGGTTCGTTCCAACAATCATTCACATGGGACTCTGACTGGATTGTGTACTTAAGAGATAGAAGACCCCCAAAGTGGAAGGCTCCTTGCCATCAGCCAACAAGCAGATACCGCAACATCTCGTGCAGACCTCGCATGTAAATTCTGCCTTCTATGGCAACCTCTCAGTCGGGCCTGTCCTCTACAGGGTCTTCATCTGTCATTGCCTTCATCGCCACCTCACCCCTGGAGATTTCCGCCCTCATCTTCTCGCATCTTGACAACTGCGACCTCAAAGCCCTTCGGTTGGCCTGCAATAAAGTTGCCATCTTTGTCCGTCCTCATCTTCGGTTCAATCGTGTCTTTATATCCGCTTGTCCCCTCGATATTAAAGTCTTTCGCGCCATTGCAGAAGACGACACCTTCCGCCGTGATGTCCGCGAGATCATCTGGGGCGATGCTCGCTACGAAACACCACCGCCTCCAGATCCTAGACTGCGGCACTTGGATGAAGACTTGTATGATTCTGATGATGAGGAGGATGAAGACGACCGGCCAGAGAAGCCCCCGCGTGGCGTTCCTTTCTGGTACTTCAGACACAGCAAAAACAACATTGAATACTTGGAGATTAGACAGGGTTATGATGCTGAGACTCTACCTCAGCATCTCGAGACTGCGAAACAGCTCGAGTCCCAACTCCCTCTTGATATCGCCTACACACACTATCAGGAGCTGCTCGCAGAACAGAACAATGTGCTTTCTACATCGGCCGATATAGCCGCGTTCGAATGGGCTTTGGAGAACGATAGGTTCCCGAGCCTAAGAAGAATTACCTTGACACCCGCAGCACATGGCATTCTTTTTCATCCGCTATACCCGACCCCTGCTATTCGCGCTCTACCCTACGGCTTCAACTACCCGCTTCCTCGTGGCTGGCCAGTCCCTCCTAAGGACGGAGATAAAGCGATGTCTGGGGACTGGGAGAGCGAGGATTACAAAGAATGCTGGCGAGGATTCCGCCATGTCGTCAGAATCCTTGCTCATCAGAAAAGCACAAAGATCAAGGAGCTCATGATTGACGGCAATCAGATCTGGTCTGGCCTGCCCTGTAGCATCTTTTACGCGCCGGAGCCGTGCGTCGAGTATGACAACCTCGTCGCCGTGATCAAGAAGGCAGGCTTCACAACTCTCAGGCTGAGCCTCATGGTAGGCGGGCAGGAAACCAACAACTATCTCGCTTTCCGTAACGGGCGCCTGAGAAAAGCTCTAGAGGCGGACTTGCGACACTTTTCTCTCGAAACTGGCGAGGACGACGATCTCGAAAACGGGGATTATCCTTCGCATTGGGTGAGAGATCACTTTATCCCTCTGCGATCCGTCTTCCCCGTCGAAACATGGAAGAACTTGGCGCATTTCGGGCTGACGCGCTGGCTTGTGAGGCAGTCGGACCTGCTCGAGTTCCTCGCCGCGCTCCCGCAAACTCTACGCTCTGCGGAACTGAGCTTCCTCTCGTTTATGAGAGGCCATGAAAACTACAGGGATCTGCTCTTTGCGATTCGTGATACGCTGGGATGGCTGGAGCGAACAGCCAGTGCAAGACCCCGTCTGCTCATCCGAGACTTTCCCGGTGTCCCGTTGGCTGGGCGGGCTGTCTGGGTGGAGGACGCGTTGCAGAGATTCTTGTACGATGGTGGCGAGAATCCTTATCCGATACCTCCGCGTAATGCCGTAGTTACGGGTCAAACCATCACTTGGGAACCTGGAATTTTGACAGTGGGCCATGGTTTCGGGATGGAGAAGGACGCTTTGGAGCCGCAATTTGAACGACCTTACGAGTCGGCGGATAAGCTTATTGAGATGGGGATCTCCAGGAATTGGAAGGGGGCTTTCTAGATTCCTTGATGGGGATGGATGTGAGATCACAGGAAAGATGGCTGAAAGTTGCCTGTACTTGGTGAAATGGAATTTTCCTCTGAAGCTTGTTGAAGGGGCAAGACAGATGGACGTGCAAGTGAGAGGGAGATAATTGTATCGAAGACGAGAGGTTCGAGACTCTGCACCCACAATCGGCGTACGCAAGAGAAACCGCGCATTTCCATCACTGGGGCTGTAGAGACGGAGTTCTCTGACGACACCCTTCATCACGAGATTCGTTGATAAAGCTGTTTGGGTAGAGTTATCCGTCCTACGAGGTATTCACCATGCAAGAAAGAAAGGACCATATTGACTGGGGTCTCATTGATCTGACTGTCTCATTCAGTTGTTTTCACTTGGTATCAAGTAGACTTCCACGCTGGACATCTGATCATCCTAGTAGGCCGACCATGGGCAACCGTATCAACCTACTGCTTCATCCATACTCGCTCATACTTCCAAAATCTACCACTTTTCCGACTTTACAGTGCTAACCTCGCTTCTAAAAGGCCTCCAACATCAGTGCCTAAAATTCGACCTGTTCATCGTAGTCACATCAATAGTCGACCCCATCGCCGCAGGCCCATACGCCCCGCCCTCCATCGAAGCCATCATCTTCCTCATCGGCGTGCCATCCTGCCCTCCCGGGCCCCTCAAATTCACCGCCTCGGCAAACATGCGCAGCTGCATCGGGAACCGCGGGTCGCCATACCGCTCAATAATATCAGCCTTCTCCACAGCGGACCCCAAATCATAGTAAGCATCAGCGCCCTCCTCCTCGTCCTCCTCGTCCGCCCCGCCCACGCACTCGCACGCCGCCTGCTTCTCCGCGCTCCACCACGCCGGCAACAACCCCTTACGCTTCGCGGCGTTCTTCAAAAAGCGCCGGAACCCTTCGAGCCCATTGTCCGCGCCGCCGTAGATGCTGTCCTCGGCCGCGTCCCCGTCGATGTTGTACTCGTCCTCGACGTGCAGGCGGTACGCGTCGATGAGGAGGCGGTAGACGTCCGCCTCGGGCCGGTCGTGGAGCCAGGTGCCGTTGTCGAGGCGCGTAAAGGGCCGGGTGACGGGCTGGTCTAGGCCCTTTGGCGGGGATAGCGCAGTGCCGGCGGATGTGGGGTTGCCGGCACCGGTGCCGGAGGGACCGCCACCTCGGGGTTGTGCGGAGGCGTCGGTCCGGCCGCACGTCTTTTTGTGGGATTTCCAGTCGGCCTTTTGGCAGTCGCGGGAGCAGTATGGTGTTGTGGCGCACTTTGCGCAGTTTTTTAGATTGACCTGGGGCGGACCCTTTTTGCAGACTGTGCAGGACGACATGTTCTTTTCGAAGGGGCTTGAGTGGTTGAATGTTGTGGGATAGGTATCTGAGAAGAGCTCAAGATGATGTTGGTTATCGTCGAACGGCAGTTGGCCTATATACCCAAGTAAGTATCCAGATATCTGTTCCCTGGGGCTACCCCGCTTGACCTGGGGTGCCTTACATGCACGTCCGGGGTTACCTTACCATTTTGGCCATATCACGTGAAAACACATAGTCCACTGATGGAATCGAAGGAAGGGCGTTGTGAGTGTCCGAATGGCAGGTGGAAGTTGAATGTTGCACATAGAAGAAGAGGATGGACTGGATTTGGGGGAAGGGGGGCTAGGGAAAGGAACTGGTCGCAGTTGGTTGTTTGTGGCAATCCTTCGAGGACAAGTAATATGCGACACGGGATAAGCAATCTATACTAGTAGCTATTACGTGCCGTGCGGGTTGAGAGGATTGACATGCTTGTTCACCCGAATTATCTTCAGCGTCTCTAAAGACAGCTCTCGACTGAACCATGGTGAACCTCGCTGCAGGTGTTCAAAAGTTGAAGCAGTGACCAAACTATGTCTCTCGTAGTGGCCACGAACAGGTATCATATTCAAAAGGAAAATTAAACCTGACAATCAGAGCTGTTTCCATGCTTGCCAGTAAAACGCCAGGCCGAATGCCTTATCGGGCACTCACGTCTTGTCTCGCCTTCCCGCACTCTTAACTCTCCTACTCGTCGGCAGCCTTGGCTTTCGACGCACCAGTCATGCTATGAACCAAATCAGCGAATCGGCCCTTTGAGGCAGCCAGATTTGTATCGGCCTTTGGCGTTCCCACGGGCGTAACACCCGCCGAAGTACCCTCCACGACATTGGCAACCTCCTTATAATGCTCGCGGTCTTTAACGAAGCGCGTCAGGTACATGGTCTTCTGCCGCGTCTGCTTCCTCATGATGCGCTCCACCTCGGCCTCGTACGCCTTATCATAAATGTTGAAGTCGACGTTGGTCGGCGATTCGGCCACGGCCCCGGCCGAGGGCTCATCCTTGTCGAACTCGTCCCGAGAACCGATGCCGATGCCGAGGATGCGGGGTTCCGAGTCGGACCTCCCGGGGGGTGCGGTCTTGGTTACGTCGGCGAGGCTGTTCTTCTTGAGGAACTCGCGGCGTTTCGAGAGAAGGGCCTCAATGTCTTCGTGCATCGCACCCAAGCGGGGGGAGTCTGTCTGGGAACCTTCGCGTGATTTGGCGTTTCTTTGCCTTGTGAGGATGTTCTTGAACTTATGAATTGCTTTCATCTGACGTGGTTGTTAGCTTCTTTGTAGCGCAGCAACAAGCAAGTGGGTGTGCTGCTCACCACACAGAGGAGATGGTTCATCTTCCGCGTGAAAGCGCGGTTTAGCTCAAGCTCGTTTGGGGGTTCTACGAGGTTGGAACAATTTTCTTCCTTTGATAGCAGAGGATCTGTCCCCTGTTTCGTAACCCATGGATGGTCCTATTTAATGATTAGCAAAACAAAAATCTAGCGCCACGGAAGAAAAGCTAGTCCTTACCCGCAACTCGTGCATCTGGATGCGCTTCTTGGGGTCCTTTTCCAGAATCCTGCAGATGAGGTCCACAAAGTCGGGATTCTCATCCCCGGGCAGCTCAGGGGAATCTGTCTTGATAGCTTCGTACATCTCAAGCACACCCTCTTGCTCAAACGGAATTTTGCCGTAGCGTAGACAGTACAGCGATATGCCCATGGACCAGATATCCGTAGCCTTGCCATCGACGTCGCCATGTCGGACCACGCAGAGCTCAGGTGCAAGGAATGCCGGGGATCCTGCCGATTTAGCCGTCTTCATGGGGTCTCCCGGCTTCTCAAACATCTCGGAGACGCCAAAGTCTACAATCTTGAGCACATCGTCGTCGGTAAGGAGAAGGTTGTCCGGCTTGATATCCCGGTGAATGACGCCTTGCTCATGTACTAGACCGTGTTAGCCTGGTTGGTCAGGGTATACGTGGCAACCAACTTACAGTATTCGATGCCTAGAATCAAGTCTCTAAACCAATAACGACAAGAATCTTCACCGTATGGCTTCGCCTTCTCGTTGAGTCCGACCTTCATCACGACTCCCTTCTTGCACATTTCAAGGACCATGTACAGTGAATCTTCCTCCGGGTCGTCCAGCACTTCAATCAGCTGGACCAGGTTCGGGTGGTTCAGCTTCTTCATGATGGCAATCTCCTCTCTGATAAAGAACAGAGCATCGTTGACGTTCCAACCAGCGTTGCCCTCCTCGCCGAAATGGGGCGAGAGCGGCGCGTTGAGACTAACACGGGGGGCGAAGCGCTGGGGTCGGCGAGCGCCCTGCCGCAGAATGTTGGACTGCGCGCGTTTACGAAGCCGCACTTTTGAGAACTCCTTGACGGCCTACGGATGGACGTGAGCACGGGAAGAGTCATCACTTGGAAGCTTGGAGGCTCATACGTATTCGGTGCCAAATTGGTCGGTCGCGAGGTGGACAGCACCATATGACCCCCTGCCAATTTCCTCTTTGATCACATACTGGTTGATGCGGTGGTGACTTGAGCCATCCTCAGCCTCCGTACCATATTCTGTCACGGCGTTGAGCGTTTCCTACAGTAGTTTTTTGGTGAGTTTCTCTGAACATTGCTCCGGTTCGTCGTCATCGCAGCTACCCCGCCCCCACCACGCTCAACCAGCAGCAGCGGGACAGGTCAAAAGCTGAGCTTTTCAACGAAGCTTGGCAAAACAAAACCACACGCACCTTGACTTCACGGTGAGCTGAAGGCGTTCGACGGTGATGCCTCATGGGGCTCTGAAAATTTGATGGTTGGGCAGCCGAATCGGATCTGTACCGCGTAGAGCGAGGAGGAGGTTAGAGTAGCTCGCCGCGCAGTGGTGGAGCGCGCGGGGGAGGCAGTGCAAAGTTGCAGCGCAGCGCAGAGAAGCAAAGTGAGTAAGTAGTGCAGTGACTGACGTACATGGGGGCAAGCGGCGGACGAGTCTCGGCGGGCCCTTCACCGTGGAACCCTACCGCAATGGTGGGTGAAGACATGCTTGAGGTAGCGAGGGTCGTCGAGGCCATGGCCGTCGTCGGCGGGCTCTGAGGTTCGCCAGAATCCGTCATGGTTTCGCCTTGCGCGAGGCTGGGGAGTTGTAGATGGGAGAGTGTGTTGTAAGCTTGACGTTGTGTTGGAGAAGCAATGTTGGAGAGGCGAGTGCCGGGTGGGGTGAGAGTGAGAGTGAGAATGAGAGTGAGAGAGCTAGCTACAATTCTCTGCTTTTGCCCATTCGGAGCTTTGCTATTCAAAATGGCCGAGCTTAAGGAGCACCCCAAATCTTAAGACTAGGTAGGTATGACAGGTAGGCGTGAACGACCGGACGAGCGAGCGATGGAGCTGGCGACGTTTTGAACCTGGAAGCGCGCGTGTGAGGTGGGAAAAGCGAAAGCGACGTCAAAAGAAAGGAAACAATAAGCAAGGGCACTAGGATTCGCGAAAACGAGACGACAGCTGAGCTTTAAAACCTGACCGAAAGGAAACAAGGGCCCGGGGGTGGGAAGAGAGAAAGAAGTACTTTGTATTCGAAGGTGGGAAAAAATAGGTAGGCGTTTCTCCTTCAGCTCTTCAGGCTCAGAGTGAGCCCCCTTCCAGCCCCCACGTCTGTTATTTTCCCCCAAGGATCACCTCGCAGGTCTCCAGTGTTCTCAACGCCCTACAAAAAGCCCAGGTTCCGTCTTATCCATTTCCGCGGCTCCTCATATCCATGCCCAGCATCGCTGTCCGTTGTCATTGGGCGCATCGTAGATTCCCATCATGGGCTGACTAGTGTGCTCCCCTCGTAGGGCCAGCTCGGAACCCCTCCTTGCGCCAAAGAATCACGTTCCGTCCGGGGGGTCCACCACAAGGCAGAGTGACACCCCCTGCCAGCATCTGTACCTTACGCAATCGGACCAGCTCCAGCTCACAGTTGCAATTTCAAAGGTCCACCGAGGCACCTACCGACCGAGACAAGCAACGGTAGCCGCATTTCGGGGCTGGGGCCACTGAACGGCCGACCACACTCAATCGTCCCGCCCAAGCTAGCTACCTTACTTCGTATCTTCATGAGCATCCTGCGACTTTCAACCAGTGATACCCAACGACACCGAAAACCAGCGAATTCATTGACGGCCCAAAAGACGACCAGATTCGAATCCCGAATTCTCGAGATATAGAATCAATCCGCAATCTACGTACCCTGCACACCTCGCCGGCATGCGCCCCTAAACGACCAACCTCCATCCCTTTCCGCCTCGCCTCGCCTCGCCTCGTCGACAGACGACACCGAAACCCGGCGCAAACACGCGCAACCCCCGCGCCGCCGTCGCGACCGTCCCCTAGCCCAACATGGTCGTCTACTCCTTCTACATCTTCGACCGCCACACGGAATGCATCTACTCAAAAACCTGGCTCCCCGCCGAGCGCCCGCCATCCCAACAACCTCCCTCATCAGCCGGAACGGGCGCCGCACCACCACCATCACAGCAGCTCGGCCGCCGTAGCCAGGTGAACTCGGCCAAGGACGACGCCAAGCTCATCTTTGGCACGGTTTTCTCCCTCCGCAACATGGTCCGCAAGCTCGGCGGGGACGACCACGCCTTTATCAGCTACCGCACCTCGGCCTACAAGCTCCACTACTACGAGACGCCCTCGAACCTGCGCTTCGTCATGCTTACTGATACGGCGACGCTGAGTATGCGGAATGTGCTGCATCAGATTTATATTAACCTCTGGGTTGAATACGGTACGGTGACAATTACCCACCCTGAGGGCTTCCTCTCTTTTCCTGACAACGGATCATAACTTGCTGACCTCTTTTTGCAGTCGTCAAGAACCCCCTTGCACCAGCCGAACACAAGGGTGGCGAAGGCGTCAAGAACGAACTTTTCGAGCTGGGTCTGGATCAGTTCGTCAGGGGCTTGATGTGAAGGACACCGTTCTCGCCGTTCGGCAGCCAGGTTGGAAAGGAACAAAGAACAAGAAAACACCAAACCCAGGGAAAGACGATATGTGAGTGGGAGCCCTTAGAGCTGGGGAGGAGAAAGGGGAGAATCCCAACAACTCAACACGGGAGAATTCGATGTCGAGCCGCAACAAGTTTTTGCCAGGCTGGCATCATGGAACAAACGTGTCTGCGAGATACATTGTAGTCCCTGGCACCGATTGCGCACTTCATGCCTAAAGAAGGAAACCCCCCACCACAAACATAGACGAAGAAAAGGCGTCCCAGAACCACTGGACGGCCTGACAACAAGAAAGAATCATCAGTAGAATCGCGGGCTGAGCAAAATGGATCAAAGGAATGGACGGAGGCTGCGCCATCTCCAGCTCTGGGCTTAACCCCCGTACTTTGTTGATACAGATTCGAGAGATGAACCGTCTATCTCTTGACCATAGATTATACAATGATACCTATATTTCCAGCTCCATCCCTGCCTTACCTTCCCACCTGTCCTGTCCATAACCCCGTAAATATCATTAAAAATGTCATAGCCAGGCTCACACACCTCGAGAACACAACATCAATCGAGGTTCGGGCCACATGTACATGTTATGTCTCTCTATTTTGGATGGAAGGCCTACTTGCTGTCCACCGCCCTCCCCCACGCGCTCTCAAAGCTAGACTGCGGGTTCACCATCACGAGGCTCTCCTCTCCGGTGCCCTGCGTCGTCCCCTGCGTCTGACTTGGGAAAGTTGCAGCAGTACCCTGGCTGGCGCGAGGCACTTCGCTGGCCCTCACGTCAACGGCGCTCGCCATGATGCCCTCGTCGTCGTGGTGGATCTCATTCTCCCAATTGCTCGAGTACACCACGGCCGCAAAGCCCTCGAGGTCGGCGACCTGCTCCATCTCCTGTAGGTACTCATTCGGCATCCCGTTGCCAATGATGTGGGCTTGCCTCGTGAGGACCGAGAGGATTTTGGGCAAGAGTACGACCACCTGCGACGAGCGCGGTTCCGACTCGGCGAGGTCCGGCTTATCAAAGGCTGCTGACGAGAGCTTCTTATCCACGAGCAGGGAGAAGCCGGCATCGAGGATGAGCGTGAGCACGTGCGTGAAGGAGGGCGACTCGATGAGATCCGACGTCTCGTCGAGCAGCCTTCTCACTGCGGGCGACGATGACGGCGAAGACTGAGACGTGGCGCTCTCGGACAGCATCACAGTGCTCTCCTCCAGGATGCCCGACTCGCGGAGGACGTGGTCCTCCTTGTCCCGCGGCGGAAGGAGGTAGGGCAGCCACTTTGCGGCCCTGCGCTCTTCGGGCGTGGCGCCCTCAACGGCCTTGCGCACCGCGAGCGTCAGCTCCGAGAACTGCTCGAAGCTGAGCAGGTCGCGCGGGCTCAGGTGGCCAAAGACCTGGCGGACGGCGGTCTCGACGCGCTGGCCGAGCTCCTTCCACCCCTCATTCAGGAGCCACCAGCTAAAGGTCAGGTAGCGACGGTTCGTCTCAAAGTCGTTGCCGTAAGGCTGGTCGAGGCCGTCGTCGTCATTGTTCTCCAGACTGATAGTCGCTTGGGCAGTACCAGTCGCCAGGGATATAACGCTCGAGAGATAGCTACGGCGGCCGAGGAGGTTGAGTTGGACTCTTGTCAGCATCGTCAGCAATGCGAGGGTGTATAATAGCGTGAACGCTCTTGTTATGGCTGCGATGTCAATGTTAGAATCTTCCCCTCTCTCGCCTTCTCCATTACATCAGATAGGCGCCACTCACAGCTGATGGTCAGATCATCCCACAACTGCCTCTTCGACTTCCGACTCTTCTGCGCCGCCGCGCCGCCATCCTGTTGCGCACCCTCGGCGGCCCCTCCTGCGGCGGCCGACGTCGGGGCCGGTACCGTCAACTGGCTCGTGTGCACACCGCTCTCGCTCTGGACGCTGCTGCTGACCATGCTCCGTCCGTCGTCTTCTGTCATGGTAGTATCTGCGATGCTCGGCGGGCTGCCGCTGCCGCTCTTGAGGCTCTTGGTCTGACCCTTCATCTTCTGGATCTCGTAGGTGATCTTCTCCGTGTTCATGACCTCGAGTATATTCGTCGTTGCCGAGGGGAGGAGTGCGAGCACAGTAAATGTGCAGTCTTCTTGGTTTTGCTCGAATCGGCGGCGGAGGCTGCGATTGGGACACGGCGGTGTTAGTCGGGGGAGGGTGATCATGGTAGCTTAGAGGAGGGTATCTTGGGAATGTAGCTCACTTCTCCTTGGCGATGCGATCGCTGCTCATGCGCTCACGCGCATCGTTGATCTTGCCCATGACATACTGCGACACGACATAGCCCGCGCCGACTACACCCACGCTCACAGCGAGCGGTGTCCTATTTCGGCGGAACCATCGCCGAGTGGCTTCTAACATGGCTCGGTCTGGCGCGGCGAGCGACTAAATGTCCGATAGATTAGCCTGGCTGTTGATGGAAAGATAGAGTCCGGTCCGGAGTATGGTAGAGGGGGATGGAGGGAAAGGACCAGAAGGATTGAAGTTCAACAAAGATTGCGAGAATAGTTAAAAGAACCCCGGATTGAAGCTTTCGAACCGAGCTAAAGCGTTAAAGAATAGAAAAAGGCGGTCGTCTTGCTAGGGGAATCATATGAAAAAAAGAAGATTGGGAGATTTTTTTGTCTATTAAACCCCCCCAAAATTGGCTATCTGGGCGAGCTCTAGGAAGGCTGGTCGGCACGTAATGATAAGTTGGAGCAGTTAAGCAGACCAGGAGGAGAGGAGCTCGCGCCTGAAAGCCCAGTGACTGGCTACTGCTCTCTGCGAGTCGTGAACCGTGATTACCTCGGCCCAGCCACACCCACGTTCCCGCGTCATCTTAATTTAATGCCCGTGTTTCCCAACTCTCTTGCCCCAACAGCTGTGGCTGAAGTGCCGGTACCGCAACCGCCGCCGTATCGAGCGCTTCCCCGGTAAGGTGGTGTAGGTACATCACTGCTCGCCCTTGCTGCCCACCACCAACGACTGCCCAAGTATCGTAAGTACCTTACCGTACGGGCTGCTACTGCACAAGGCTATGGCCACTCTCTACTCCCCAGGACCCAGCTCGGGGAACTTGGGAGTACCTTTCCCAACCAGGAAGAGTACCCCTGCTACCGATATCCCGTCCTCCCCCCGCCTCTGTCCCTTCCCTCCCTGGATCAACACAGCGGTAGTGACTCCCCGCTCTCTTCTGCCCGCCCGCCCCCTTATCGGTGCGGCGCATCAATGCTGGGCTCAAGTGTGCCCCTCAGTACATCTGACACCTTTCTTTGGGTCATTCCCTCACCTTACCTCAGGCAGAGGGAGAGAGTATCTGTCACGCTCCTTCACGCCAACCGCATCTGTCTGTCGAACAACCAACTCACCAAGCAAAATCCCGTAATCGAGAAAAGGCACGATGCAGCAGAGCAGCGCTCCAGAGTTCATTCTCGAGGCCTTTGCGGACCCGGCCTCCGTACGGGATGTCGTCAAAGGTACCTACCATCTCTGTCTCCCGTGTCCCGTCTCCCATCCCCAGTCCTCTTTCCCATAGGTAGCCCGCAGTTCGCGCGCGCCCCGCCAGACGTCATATCCGCCCTCAAAACGAACGACAACACCTTCCGAACCTCTCAGCCTCGCGATGCGACGGGCGCCTGCCTTACCAGTCCCCCTCCAAAGTGCAGAACCCAAGCCATGCAACACGAAACCATATTAACCATAGTGATGGCCCTTGAACAGGAATAAATGCTAATTAAACAACCTCGTCACCGTGGTACAGGAATCCTCCACACAATCTTCTTCCACCGCTTCTTCCCCGCCGTCGTTCCGTACACCCGCGAAGTCCTAGATCTGACCCTCCCCTACGTCGACGACGTCGAGCTCGGAACCATGATCGAGCAGCGCGCCACCGCCCTCGTCCGCCAGCTCGACGCGGAGCGCTCCTCGTCCGGCTCCGGCGGCGGTGGTAGCGGCGGCGGGCGCGGCCAGCTCACCGTCCAGTTCTTTGAGAAGAAGCGTCGCAAGGCCTGGCTCATGCGCGGCGACGAGGAGGTCTGTTGGGAATGCTGGACCGTAAAAGTCACGGTCGCGGAGCCCAGGACGGAGACTGGTTGGTTCTACCTACCCCTTTGCCCTCCTTTGGCAACCCGGTAGAGGGGGGCGCACTAGTAGAGGGACGTACAAAGATGAGAGGCTGACCGTTGTCGGTGAAACTTTTCCAGAGCGAGCCAAAGTCCGAAAAGCCATGGAGACGACGCTCATGACGACCGTCATGAAGGTCATCACCTTCGTCAACGCGCACAAGGATCACATCCCTCCGATAACGACGCAGGGGTCGAACCCGTTTCCCTACCAGATCAATATTAACCAAAAGGAGTCAGGGTGGGCTACGAGGATGGGCATTTACTAAACTTTGCGCATTCGGGCTGACGACGACACTGTGAGACTATAATGAGATGTTTTTGACAAGATGCCTCTTGGTTTTTTTTTTCCAGGATTTGATGCGAATTCTTTTGGACAGTCTTTCCATGTTCGGCTTGGGGACGACGACATCAACGAACCTAGGATGACGACGGCGACGCTGCTGGCAGATATCGTAGAGGTGGTACACAACATTCTGAGGCGTTCTGGGAACAAGGCATGATTCAAACGAGACATAGACATGTAGGACATTTGGGGAAATTTAGAGCAAGACAATATGATACCCGTTCTTGAGTTCAAACATCGGACTGAGAGGTCACCCACACATGCCGAAAACTAGCTTCTTCGATGATTCGATGATTTATGACGACTTTACTAGTTCCGAGAAGATGATTATCTTCTCGAACGTACGTAACGCCACACAGCCGAGAGTCATACTGATTTGAACATGCTTCTAAGCCACCGGGCTCTTGATGATGTCGGATATAATTTGATTGTTGCGGATATCATGTGGAATGCCCACATAAAGGACAGTACAACCATATGAATGGGATATAGAACACTGTATAAGTTATTCGCGACAGTCATGTCATCATTGACATCTTGAACAACATTTGCGAGAAGGCTCTGTTTAGTGCGTGTTTCCATAGAATTGATCACTACCAGTGTGCTTAGCAATAGGTGCGAAGCCAATACGCTACACATCCAACCCGGATTTTCCTACACAGCAAGAAACACAAACAACAAAATGGCCTATTCCGGCCAAACAGCGATAAAAAAAGCAAAAAGCGAATATCGAGCCGAACCTAACCTGGTCCAAGGCCGACGAAAGCAAAAGCAGAAAAACGCACAAGAATCTCATGGTGCCCTCCGTGCCTCTCAAGAATGATGATGTCCCTTCGCTTTCCCTCCCTTTGCCCATCGGAGAAAAAATAAGGAGAGCCAAGACATTATATGTGCACTGCTTCGTCATTATCATAAAGCAAACAATCATGGACAAGAGAATTGTGAAAGCCTCGAAGCCCGAATCAGACATTAGTCTTTAAAATCAGCCCAAAGTTTTTTGTGTTTCCCCCGCGCGCTCCATTATCGTGTGAAGTGTGTCGAAACAGGCCCTGAATGCCTGAATGCATCGGGACGTCATGCCAGTAAGTGTGTTCATACATCGTAACGGTCGTCATCGTCGTCTCGTTGCAAGAGACTAGAATTGCGTGGTGTAGCTTCGTCCAAACGCAGGCTTGCTGGGCTTGGAGCCGGAAGCCTTGGGCTGGGAGCCAGAGCCAATCTTCTCAAAGCCTTGCAGGATGTCGAGACCCGAGTACTCGGTGGTCTCCTCCGACAAGAAGTCTGTCGTGTCGAAGGAGAACGAAGGCCAGTCGGCCTCGGCCGCTACCTCGTAGAATGAACTAGATATCTTGGTCGGCGAGGGGAATCTCCATTGCACGGCGGCGTCGTTGTTGGCTTTGATAGGAGAGGACAGGCCGTCAAAGACCTTGCTAGGAGTCTCCCACATGGCAGAAGGTTGTGCGGGTGCCTTCAGGAAGGGCGTTGAGAGAACCGACTTGTTGCCGTTACCCGAGTCATGAGTATCGGCCAAGGCATTGGCAGAGTGAGTACGCTCAAGACGGGGTCGCTTTCCACCAGACTTCTTGGAGGGAGACTCTTGAGGTAGGCCGTCAAAGAAGTCGTTGTCCATGTCCTGGAAGATGTCAAAGTCACCAGCGGCCATCAGGTTGTAGTTGTAGACGCTCTCGTCCAAGTTGAAAGCGGGGCTCCACGGAGCGTTGCCGTCACCGGTGCCGACCATCTTGCGGATCGGGGACTGCAGCATCTGGCGGACATTTTCGCGGTGCTGGCGAAGATTGGTGTTGGGCGAGGCAGAAGGCGGGGCCTTGGTAGGCGGCTTCAGTTTCATGGCTGGCGTGAGCGGTGGCAGCATCTGCCCTTGTTGGCGGAGCGGCGATGAGGACGGTGGGGCGAACGCGTTATACGACCGACCCTTGCTAGGGCTATCGTAAGACGACGCGCGCAAGCGAGCAATCTCATCCTCTGCCCTGCCAGCGCGACTGCGCTTGCGAGGGCGATCGGCCTCTGAGGTAAGAATGCCAGTCTTTTGCGGGCGCAAAGCAGAGGATTCGAGAGACGAGATATAACCACTGTCATCCATGGACGCGAATTTTCTCTTGTGAGATCTGGTGATGGACGACATAGGTCCGCGGCCAGGCGGAGGAGGCGTGCGGCTGCGGGGCTCCATGTGTCGCGGAATGGGCGGTGAAGAATGCATCGTAGGCGGCAGAGGAGAGCATTCGTGGTCCAGCTTATCCTGTCCATCTTCAGGTGCTGCCGAGTCCGAGACAGGAATGGTGGCATCGGATGAGAACTCAACGGCAACGGTAGCCTGAGAAGTAGGCAAAGGCGGGAGCGTTGTTGCATGTCTGATCGGTGCAGGAGGCGGAAGAGTCGGCTCCTGGATCGGCATGTTGGCCGGCCTTGAGGGTTCCATACGGGTTGACATGACAGGCACGTTTTCGGCGGTCGTTACCGTCTTTCTTGCCGGCTTGTCCTTCATGAATTGTTGCTCCATGCCCTCCTGGATCGTCCAGTAATTTCCCTTGCCCGGGTCGTCCTTTGGTCGTTCCACCTTGATAAAGGCCTTGTGAAGGCTGAGGTTGTGCCGAATGCTGTTCTGCCATCCCGACTCCTCCGCCTTGTAAAACGAGTACGTGTCTGAGATCCACTTGTAAATTTGTGCGAGCGTCAGGCGTCGCAGTGGTGATCGAAGAATTGCCATCCCAATCAAAGTGGCGTAGCTGTGGCCCGGTTTCGTCCCATCGTCGACGATTGGAGGGAAAGAGTCGTGAGGTGGAAGACCGGACTCATCGGCCTTTACCTTCTTCAGAGGTCGTGATTCCTTGATCGGTGCAGCCTCCATCAATGTGCGCTTTCCGGGTCCCTTGTGCATATAGAACTGATCAAAGTTGATGGTCGGTGGCGCAGGATACAACTGCGGGTGAACGTTCTCCTTCCCGAATCCGGCGGCCAAATCCACAGAAGGAGGCTTCTGTGCGACGGTCTTGAACTTGGATAAGTAGGGCTTCTTGTGTAGCGAATCGGTGTTCTGGTTGTTTGCTGATGGTGGCGCCATTGGCACCATGTTTAACTTGCTACCCTGGGACTTCAACGGGGCATGGTGCGATTTGATGTTGCCTGATGATGCCTTTAGAGGCGAGTGTCTGTCGGATGCGAGCATCGGAGGGTTGAGGACGACATTGTTGTTACTTGTTGCGCCAAGCGGCCTCCTCGGTGGCTTGGAGGCGGCAGGCATGGGTGCGTGGTTGATCATTGTTGTCGAGTTCTCGAAAAAGTCGTCTTGGTAGATTTGCAAAGGCTCATGAGAGCCGGTATAGCGCGTGGGTTTGGCCATGTCGGCCGAGTGTAGTTGAATGATGTCGTCTCCAAACCTGCGTCAAGTGCGTTCGCGGCAAGTAGTGGGCTGTGGGAGGGACGGCATGTCAGCGAGCCGCAAAGGCATAAGGTTAGATAAGTAGTTGACGGTGTGGTCTTGACTCTGTCAACCTGACAGGACCCGGCTTCAAGGTTCTTGAACCCGAACGGGGTTTTGCATGATTGAAGGGAGGAGAAAGAGAGAGGAGACTCAAGGCTCACCTAGGTCGGGTCTAGACTTTGGAAATGAGTTGTGGGTCGTGAATGCAAGGGGGCCTTTTGGCGGTCAAATTGTAAGTTTAGCGACGGGATCGCTGGATCGACACGATGCGATCAGGCAAGCGACGGCGATATTCTGCGAAGAGTGGTGCCCGACAAACAACGTTGAAGAGCGGCGACGACGATGTTGTGCGAAGTCGATAAAGCACAATGGGGTGTGAGCGTGAGTGTGTGTGAGTGAGAGCGAGAGAGTCAGAGAAGAGCAGCAGACGAGGGTGAGGGTGAGGTATGGCTTATGGCTGCAGAAAGGTGAAAAGAAAAGAGGGGATATCAGGCACGATAGCACGCGAGGGAGAGGAGGGTAGGTAAGATGTAATAGGCGAGCCAGCGGCAGCGGTGGTAGTGGTGGTGGTGGTGGTGGTGGTGGTAGTAGTAGCAGGCGTGCGTAGGTCAGAGCAGGCAGTGAGGAGGAGGAGGAGTAGGTAGAGCAAAGTGTGGGAGTCGGCGGCAGAAGGATGGATAGATGGATTGATTTCAGCCAAGGCGAGTGGAGAGGACCGGGATGTCTTTGAAGAGGTGGGCGGCCAGCTCAGCAAGCCCAGAGATGTCCGGTGGGGCCTCTGGAGCACGGGAGGAATGGGCGATTGGACAAGAGGAGCGTGGGCTGTGACACGACCGACCAGGCTAGGGTACGCCGAAGTGGCAGCAAGGGTGTGTAGTGTAAAGGACCTCCGTAGTCTGGTTAGATGCAGGGAGTGTAATGGAGCAGGTGTGTGTGGTGTGCGCGAATGTGAGTGAGCGTGAGAGCGAGTATGAATGTGCGTGTGCTTGATATCGTCCGGGGTGCGATGGCATAGGCACAGGTACAGAAGGTAGCAGCATGAGCAGCATGCATGGATGATGGGTATGGACTATGGAGTAGTGTGAAGAAGGTGGAGGAGGATCATGGATGGGCGATGATGGGATGCACGGCAAGGTCGACCGTTTGCTGGAACACGCCGTCCCGGAAGAAAAAAAAAAGAGGTCGAAGTTAGAAGCCAACCGTCGCCGAGCGGGAGAGCGATCAGAAAGAAGTGCGCACACTTGGGACTGTAGTAGTGCAGTCCAGTCTGTGTAAGGTATCCGAAGATATACTACCTTAGGTGACTAGATACTAAGTCGCTAGACAGAGAGCCGCTCGCATCCGGGGTCGGTGCCCTTAGCCGTCACCGTTTGGTTTCTGTCAGGCGTGGAGGATGAGGATTTGCGTTTGTCTTTGCGCGTTTGCTTGGGCTACGCCGTCGAAAGAAAAGAGAGGGTCAGCCAGCCAGGTCGGTTGAAGTCGAACAGACTTTCACCCGGCTCCAATTCAGGTCGAAGTTCGAGATACGTAGTAAGAAGAACAAGCAGAAGAAGCTCAGGGCTCCCGGGGCCAGGCCTGTCAGACTCAGTTCCAGTGGGGAGGGAGGAGGGGGGGGAAGGGCGTCCGCGCGGGTTACGTCCGGCAGACAGAGGAGGAGAAGATGTGGACGAAAGAGGATCCCAGACTTCCCTAAAGCCCAGAGGTGACGACGATTGTACGAAATATGAATGGGCGAAAGCTGGCGACAGGACGGGAAGGCTATGCTATGCACGTACTGTATGCAAGCAGGTTTTGCAGTTCATGCGAGAGTCCGTGGTGGGCCGCCGACGGGCTTTACTGTAAGTCTGTAAGGTATGTACCACAGTACTGCGTACGAGGCTCCTCTTTTTCGCGCGCTGTCTTCCAACAGAAACGTGAAAATGAGCGCGTGTCTGCCACCAAGAAAGGTTGAATTTCCACTGCATATGCACCAGCACCACTGAACCACCCCCAAGGTCCCCTACTTCCCAGCACGCCACAGGGATGGATGCTGTAGATAGCAGCTAGATGCTGTAGATAGCAGCTAGAGCCTCTAGATGCAGCTTGACGGGCAGCGAATGGTGTTGCATGCAGGGCTCTGCCGGGGAAATATCTGTGGATGCTGTGGGCAATGGTGCAAACTGTGATATCGCTCCGGTCCTCGACTCTTCGACTTCGTCCTTGGTGGTGTTGCGACTATCTCGAGACTACCAAAGTGTCAAAGGAAGCCCAGGCCAAACATGGTCGAGTCCAGCTGGTAGTGCAAGACCCGAAAAATAGACCAATGAGTTTGCCTTTTCTTGCTCTGGCAATGGCCGAAATGCTAGTCTTCCTCACGGTTGTGGCTTGTTCGGCTAAGCGCTCGTCTGCCGTCAATTGGCTGATCTGATCTGGTTTGCAGCCGTGATGAAATGGGTTTCCTATTTAAGAAGACACACAGGCGAACAAAAATGGTAATAGCTGTGTGGCGCGATTGCGATTGTGTGCGAGCCTGTGAGGGCTCAAAAAGAGGTCACTGTCTCGCTCTGCGACGGCTCTGGTGTCCTCTCTGTGGTGCCCTCATCTGGTCTCGTTGGGATGGCCTCTTTCTTGCGCTGGCTGCTGGGATTGATTGGGTCGAGGGTTCGAGGCACAGGCCATGGATGATGGAATGAAGTCGGCGCGTAGCCGACGCGTCTCACCGATTTGGGAAGAAAACAACAAACGCGTCCACCATGAGCCAATCAAAACGGCCAAATCACATGACTGCACTCCTGATTGGCCGCCGTGCCCCCATCCGATGAAACTGGGTCATCCCAACTCATGTGCCCATTAGGGGTAGGAGCCAATACGGAAAGCAAACCACGGATAACCGCTGGAAAGGCTGGACGACATCTTTTTTCTTTTTTGTCAGACTGACACCACTTGAACAAAATTTCATATTCTTCCCACCCCATCTTGGTCTTTTTAATGGCTTAGGCTGTCTTGCAACGATTGTCCCCGCTGTGAAACTGAGACCGAGACCCAGGTACCAAGACCACCCCCCGTCTGATGCTGGCCAGATCGTCAGGTACGGAATGTGACGGGCGTCTCACTTCACCTCCCGATGATATAAGATGAGAGACGATTGCGCGCGCTCATTCCGCCTGATCTCATCTCTCGCCTCGTGCTCTGCGTTTTCAAAAGTCTTGGACGGCTAGACGGGTCTTTTTGGGCCGAGCATGACCAACCTGTCCGTGCCTATCGAGGATCCCATCAGAACGATCCAAATTCTCGTCAATGCTTTCCTTCCATCATCCCAGCTGTTTAATTCCCAACCGCGAGGAACAGACTTCTAGAACTGGGCTAGATGGGGCGCTGCTCAGAAAGGGTACCCATGGCTTTCTAGTGTAGGTCAACAATGACTAAAAAATGCTCGAGCCTCGGCGCAGGGAGCACTCTGGAGCGCCCATCGCCGGCCGTGAAGACACTAACAGCAGCTGCACGGATATACGTTGGGAAACCTTGGAAGGCTAATAATGCCATGGATGATGAGCGGTGTCGAATGGGTCTTTGCCCTCTGCGGAAAGGCGACGACAGCCGCGGTGTCGCATTGGAGCGAGCCTGACGAATAAGCATGCCATGTCTAAATGGGCGACGTTCAACGAACGTTGGGTGGACGGGTTGCAGCCCGCGGTCTGAGTTTTGTGAGTGTCACTAGGTATTCGCCTCAACCCATGTCTATCAATCACAAGTAAACGGAGGTAGCCATTGATCTGTTGTACAAAAAGGCAACGTCCAGGCCGTGGCGCCAATTGCGACAAGACTGCTACGACATGTGTCTCTCCACCGGGCCCGAAACTTGAGTGTTTAGAAGCACAGCGAGGCCAGGTACGGGGAAAGGGTCTCGGAAAGCAAGACAACATCTCATCATCGGCACTCCTTACTGTCAGGCACAGGACCACGGGAACCACTGGGGGCTTACGGGCTGGAGAGGCATCTGACACTAGTCATGATACCTGTGACCTGTTCGCTCCAATTCTCTCTGTAAAGTTGCCTTGGGTCTATGAGTCCATGATCGCTGCTACGTGCTTGACGGGATGGAGACATGAGACTCCCGAAGTGAAGCCAGCCGTTGGTGAGTATCCATACTCGGTACCTTTAGGTAAGGTCGGTCTAGGTATTGCCGCACGACCCAAATGGCCCAGGGCATCCGATAATACGAAATACCGAGAGCGGGAAAGTCCCTTCCCGAGCTCTTTCCCCCCCATCCGTGACATCATCCCTTCTCGCTACCGCCGTAGGTACTGCGTAAGGCACGGAGTACTGCCAGCATGCTGCAATGACCAATCCCTTCGCACATGTTTCCTGGCTGCTCTTTCCAGAAACCTCGTGTCTCCGCCAGTGCCCGGACGTGGCCCCAACTCTCGATCCCCAATCAAACCGTTTCCACCTCGAGCCGTCTCATTGGTTCCGCGGGCTGACAATGTTTCAACCAGAATTGGGACCAACTTGCTAGGCTTTCCCAACTTCTTGCCCGTTCTTGCCTGTTCCTGTCATCAGGTCCCACCGGGTCTCGAAGCCACTTCCCAGTCCAGAAAGTACGTACCGTTAAACGTACCTGAACTGAGCACGCTGAGGTAGGTGCTGCAATTTGCAACTGCCAACTGCACCTGGACAAGTGGGAATGCGTGCAACTTGCAAGTCGCCAGTGCGAGCAATGTCTGCGTCTGCAGGCAGGTGCAAGTGCAAGTGCAACGCTCTGGCTCAGCTGGTGTGGTGCAGACCAAGCAGGGTTCTGGGGAGCAATTTCTCTGTTTCCTACCGCTGCATCTCTTACCACTCATTCTTTCTCGTCCCATTCATGATTCCCCCATTGGCACTGACATTCACCATTCACCATTCACCGCTCGCCTTATCGCTCCGGCCTCCGGTACCTGACGGGCGTCCTCTCCCGTGTGAACCTCCCCTCCCAATTCTGCGCAATCCATTCACAAACCAAGAGGGGTCACCAGGTACCATACCTGTCTTGGCTTTTCCACTGCCAGGTTCAGCCCAGTCGTCACACCCTGTCAGTCGATCTTCGCATAAGATGCAAATCTTCCCTACGGGAGATATCCCATCTCGCACATCATTGACAACGCATCTAGCTCGCCCCGAATTCTGACTCTTCGCTATCCCCATCTCGGCATCTTTCCCACCTCGTGCTCTATGTACTGACACTGGAGCTTCCTCCCTCTGTTCTGCCCAAGAGAAGGGGGGGGGGGGGGAGACATCGAGATCCCCACGGAATCCGCTCCGGCGATCAAATTTTTACCCTCACTTCCCTGTGCCAGACGATATGGAGTAATTCATGGAATCGAAATTCAGAGACACATGGCAGAAATGCAACAGAGTTTTCGTCATTCTCTGACTACTCTTTTGTCTTCTTGTTCCTCATTCTCGTGCGTTTCCCGGCCCGGGCGCAACTGCCAGCTCACACCCGTTGGATGTTTGATGGGACTCTCATCTGTCCGTTTCAATGCACAAACGCAAACGTTCGCAGCGGACCACAACCCGCGCGCCGCTGCATCGCACTACTGTACTCCGTACGGCTGCGTTCCTCTCCATCATTTCCCTCTCATAGACTGTCACTCTCATTCTGGTACCCCCGGAGCGTGTATCCCTGCCTGCTCGATATCAATAGCGCTGCTTTTGATATACCCGCTCAAAGTGCCGGCCGTTCTCCCATTCTCATTCCCATTTCATCTCTGATTCAGTACCGACCTGGTCCGGCGTGTCGTCTCTAGCGTGACGATACTCCATAGTCCATTCTCCGTACCAGAGGAGAGGACCACCACCGCATATGCCAACCTACGGCCTGCGACCTGCCTGCTCTACCTTACCTTATCATCTCCAAGCAAACTTGTCTTTCCAACCCCAGCTTCATCCCCCATGTCAGGCCATACCGAAGGCCCCATATCGCCCAGATAACCCGACGGGCTGTACTCCGTAGTCCAGAAAAATCAAGGCAGCCGAGGAAAGCTTTGGGCGCATTTCAGCTCACGCGCACTGTCGCCGTCCGTCCGTTTACCGATCCCACGTTGAGTCTGTGATCCTCAGCACCCTAGAAAGAAGCATTGACGACCAAAAGTTGGCCGACTCTAGATGCCCAATTGCCGCCAGCAATGCCTTCATTCCGGTCTTCCCAACAATGGACAACGCATTTGCCATCTCATTTGCTTTTTTCAACATGGCCCATCCGTCCGCCTCGATTTCGACTTCTTCTTTTCGCTAGTTTTGCCAAATACTTTTGCTTTACGTGCGAAAGCTGGTGTGGAAAACGGGTCCCCCGGCTCTACTGTCTAAGTCTTGCAAGTTTGGTTCGTAAAAGACCAGATGACAGGGCCCCCGTCCCATTCACGAAAAAGCAAGCATGAAGCATAGGCCAACGTCCGATCTCCGGCCCATCATCCAGGACATTTCAGGCCATTCATCGCATTCTAATTCCTCCCTCACATCAAGCCGTGTCGTAAGACGCAGGTGGGTGTTGCTCTGTAACTCGGCCTTTCCATTGTTGGGACTACCTCAGGACGCTCCAGAAATATCCCATCCCGCTTCCTTCGAGAGCATTCGGCGTTCTTTTACAAAGCGCCACCCCGGAGCCCAATCGGCCCTCACAAACTGTAACACACAGACTCGGAGGACCGAGACACACGATCTTCCCGAGTCTCAACAGCACACCAAGTCTGCCCGTTTTCACCCCCAATCCTTCCATGGTCGTTTCCAAACTTTTCCATGAGGCCAGAAAGAGAAAAAAAAAAAAGTCCGGTGGCTGGGAGGATTTCCCAGGGTAGCTCTAAACCGGGGTTCATCTTGTATTCCACCTCACGAGCACCTCATCCGTGCATATGTTTCATCGAGGTCGTAGTGCTGCACTCGCTGTTCCTCTGACCGTGACAGCCTGGGTCCGGGGCCCAACGAGAAAGATATCCCCAAAGGCCAGAAACTCTGCAGAGCACGTCGCTCTCTCTCCCGAGTCCCCAGCATGTCCTGCAAAAGACTCTACCTCCGACGACCGACGTGGACTCACCATCTCGCCTTTACAGCTGGTGAGCTGCTCGCTCTGCCAGGGGCGAAAGTGACTTGCAGATCCCAAGAAACGTTCAACCCTCAAATGTGGGTGAGAAGCTCCAACACTCGAAGAGGGGGGAGGGGAAGCACAGGACCCGTAGATCCACCCCCTCCTTCTTCATGTCGTTCCTGTCCCAAGCTTCCTAGCCGAGTGCAACCGTATTTCAACCTTGAACGTTTGAACGTCTTTTTTTTTTGATAGCTTTTGCTCAGCCTCCTGTACCTCTATCTCAGTGGCAACTCTCTCAGTGGCAGTAGTAGATACTAGGTAGGAGCTCTCACGCTCTCTGGAGCTATCCCGTCCAGGCTCGCTTTCTTTCGTGTCGAGTTGCCACGAAGAAAGACTAGGTCGATCGACCTGCATATCTAGCCCCTTCATTAGAGCGTTTTCCCTCTTCACCACGGTGTTCAGTAGCCCTCGCGCCTACATTAGTCTCTACAGCTAGGAACCCGATCCAAAAAGCAGCCCGCTCCCGAGAAATCCGGTTCAGAGAGAGGGGCGCCTTGGTGATCTTGGTTTGCGCGGAGAAGGATTACCTGCAGACTGCAGTAGCTAGACTCGCTCATGTCGTAATATGTTGCACATGAAAAAGAAGAACCTGCAGTAGTGCACGATAGTAAAGCGAGATATCGCAGCTTACGCCACCTTGGCCACCCTCGTTCCCCCCATTCAGCGCCGCATCAGATGGGTGTGAACCGTTTGACCACACCTCTTTCTCTCTGCCCTTCCCACCATCTTCTCATGGATCCAGGAACTATCAGACGAAAGAACCTGAATGTCAACAAACACACAACTATCTCTCTTAAAAAGAATGAAAACGCGTCCCGAAGTCGCGTTTGGCTTATATGTAATGACACGACAATAGAGGAGACCTACTGCAGGATCATGGTATTTACATTGATTGTTACATGGTTCCCTTTCACCATTCTAGTAGATCTTCACATTGTCCTGCCCGTCATGGGCCGAAAGATGCGTGTAAACCCAGCGTAGAAACTGATACACACAGGACCTTGACTTAGCTCAAGCTCCAGAAATCCCCATCAAGGGTTTCTCGAAAAAGAGAAAAAAAAAAGAACGCAAGACATACCAGAACCCTCTCTTGGCTCCCTCATCCTCATAGCCTTACTCTACCTGCCAACATGACTCCAGACTTGCCGTCCCTACCCACGGGATACCAAAAGAATAGAAGAATTAAAAAAAACACCCCTCTTAACCTGCCAAGAAAAGATCCACCCTCCTCACCTCGAAGATCAACTACAACAGGAGGTATACCCCCAAGCCAAAAACTCAAAACCTCTTCGTAGATCGGAAAACCGTACCCCCGAAAAGACTCGGGAAGAGGGTAGGACTCAGACACAGCACAAACACCTTCACACCACCACATTGACGCCATCACCGCCCGCACCGGCCTGACCTTGCGCTTCTCTCCCTGCGTAGACTGAGAGAGAGAGACAGACGATCCTTTCGATCAGGCGTCGGAATAGAAAAAATAAAAAAAATAAAAAGACTAGAAATAACTTTACGCCACCCAAGCTTCTCAGGACCCCTCAGGGGCCAAAAAAACATAAAGAGGAGGCACTCAAACGCACACGCAACGCATGGTCCCGACAACACCAGAGCTAGCGCAGCTTCGCGCCGGATCCCACAGCTCAGATTCTTTGTTTGACACGACGGACTGATCAGCCAGCCGGCCGGGCGGCGGCGGGGAGAGAGAGAGGGGGGAGGTCACGGGCCAAGAAAAGGCGAAAGAGACTTGAGTGAGGATAAAGAAAAGAACTTCGGGGTTTGCATTACTAGTTGGTGTGGGACATCTGTATGATAATGGGAACAATACCTACTGCTGCACGCCTCCAAAACCCCTTCCTCTCTTAGCGAACAAATCTTGCCACATGTGAACTGAACCTACTCCCAACTAATCCTGGAAACTACCTGGACATAGCTTTCTCCTCTCGTCATCTCGCTCTCTCTCCATGCCCTGCCCCGTGACATCCTTCACCTGCATCCACAGCCAGCCACATCCAGCACAGACTATTGAAACTAGCACCTAGCATTTAATCCAAAACGCGGCCTGCAGTAGCGGCACCGCTCTTATCGCGAGTCTCAGTCTTCTTCAGGGCCTTGCCAAGTTGGATCTCCCCGAGCAGACCCGCGGGCCGTCCACCTGCTGGAGGCCCTGACGGTGCGTCACCCGCCGGTGGTGGGGGAGGTGGTGGCGGGGGAGCTCCCATGCCTGGAGGGGGAGGAGGCGGCGGCGGCGGCGGGCCACCTGGTGCGGGCGATGCCGGCATCGGTGGCGGAGGAGGGGCCGAAGGAGCCTCGGGTGCCGGGCCTGGTGGGGGAGGAGGAGCACCAGTAGCTGGCATAGGCGGCGGGGGAGGAGGGAACGCAGGTGAGGCGTCGCTACCCATGGCCGGGCTGACAGGGTTAGACATCGGCTTGTCTCCGGTGGCCGAAAGTGGTCGCGGGGGGGCCATGGTTCCGAACAGTATGGAAGCCAGAGCCGCAGCGCTACTGCCGCCAGGACGGTCATCATCGTCGGAATCTTCATCGTCCTCCTTATCCGTGCCCCAGTCATCGTCCTCATCAGGGCGCTTGCGGGAGAAGGGTCCGGAGGGAGCCGGGGGAGAGGCAGCTGCGGGAGCTGCCTTGCTCTCTTGCGCCATACGGTGGAAGGGGTTAGTAGACTGCGCAGCCGCCGGGGGTGGGGGAGGGGCGGCGGCAGGTGCGGAAGGTTCGCTCGGGGCCGAGGTGGATTCGGATGAGTGAGAGAGCATGCGGTGGTACGGGTTGCGGCTCTCGTTCTCGGTCGGTGGGCTTGTGACCACCGTCGGAACAGGGGGCGGAGAAGGCTGCTTCTCGAGCTCCTGACTACTGATCTGGCTACCGCCCTGAGTAGGAGTAGAGGCCTGAGGGGTAATTTGGGATGGGCCATCTTCGTCGTCCGATGAGCTGTCATCATCGTCATTCATAGCCTCGAGCTGGCGTTGGAGCTCCAACTCGCGCTGACGGGCAGCTTCAATCTCGGCCCTCTGTGCTGCCAACTTGGCCTCCTTCTCCTTTTGCTCAGCAAGTGCTGCCTTCTTCTTGCGCTTCTCCTCTTCCTTCTTGAGCTTGCCCTGCTTGACTTGTTCCTCAAGTGCCTTGAGGCGAGCAGCTGCAGATTGTCGTTCGGTCTCAAGATCATCTTGCTGCTCTCTAGCGCTCGCCCTGTGTATCCATTAGCATATGTTCGTCTTCGGTTGTTTTCCAACAGACTTACTCCAATTCCTTGGTGGCACGCTGTTGCTCCTCGTGCTCCCTGGCGAGACGCTCTTCTTCGGCCTGTTTAGCCGCTTGCTCTTCCTCCGCCTTCCGCGAGGCCTCTCTCTCAGCAGCATCGCTCTTGGCGGCCTTCCTCGATGGCGGCGGGGGAGGCTTCTTGGCAGCCGGGGCCGGAGCGCCCGTCTCCTCGGCGAGCCGGGCTTGACGTTCAGTCTCACGACGCTCATCCTCCTCCTCGGCCTGGCGCAGCTTAGCGGCACGCTCGGCTCTCTCGCGCTCCATTCTCTGGGCAGCCGTCTCACCGGGCTTAGTAGGAGCCTTAATACCCAGGGCAGCAAGTCGCTCAGCCATACGCTGCTCAGCCTGCTGCTTGATGAAAGCAGCACGCTCCTCGGGGGTCTTGTAAGAAGAGTA